TTAAAAAACAAGAGCCGGGCACAAGCCGCAGCGGCGCTACCCACATGAATCCCATCTCTTGCCCATAACGTGATGCCGGCCGGAGGGCTCAGAACAAGCCACAAACTCTTCCGTCCGCGCAACTTGGCTGCCGAGGCTTTTAAAGCCTTGCTAGGAAGGCAGCTCCAGCCCTCCGCCCTCCCCACCTCCTGCGCTGCCCCGCTGCAACGCAAGAAATTCCGAGCAGAGCCGCTCCAGCCAGCAGCTCAAGACACGTATAGGTCTGGAGGGGCTTATAAATTACGCCAGCGGATCCTCCGAAGCATTCTTGCAAGTCCAGAACGGTCCGGTCCTTCCCATTTCCAGCGTTCTGGGATTATAGTAGTTTTGTGTTTCAATACCGTGCAGCTACCTAATGATCTTTGTTTGTTTGTTTAAGCAAAAGGAGGCAGAAAATCCCTAGAGGTCGCCTAAATGCTAAGGAGCTGTAAGTACATATAAGCAAACTTAACTCTTCCCTCCCACACAGCTGAACACCCCACTTATTGTAAGCAGCAGCTTGTTGCATTTTCCATGTTGTGCAGAACATTCAGTCTAGTGTGCAATTTGGCGAATATTAGGTTTTCCAGCGATAGGTAGCATGTATCACCTCCCTGAGCAACACTGACACCTTGGAAGCCAACCTTTGCAAAGCACTGTCATCTGCAGAGAAGTGCCGGCTCTCCTCTTGGCTTTGCCCTCTGCTTCTCCAGAAGAAGGAGCCTGTGAGTGTTTTACGAGCAATGGCATCTGGAGTATTTGAGGGAGCTCTTTCCATTCTGCTCTTATTTACCTGGAGTTAGGGATCAGTTGCATAGTCCTGCCGAAGGGGATCGCGCTACGCTTTGAGTATTAGAGAGTTCAGGATTTCCTTTCTGCATCGTGACACTAAACTAGCGTCTAGCAAATGCCCTTAACTTTGCAACTGAAGTTCATAGCTGCAAATACGGGTGTCAGTGTGGTTCTAATTCAAGTGTAAAAACTCCTGCAGAATGAGGCTGGGTACACTGGTGAAGCGAGCGCTCAAACTCTGTCACTGCTGCTTTCATACCCATGCACCAAGGGGGGAAGGAGGGGCTTGTCCCCGTGCCTCTTTAGCAAATTCTTTTGCTTCCTGAGCTTAATTCATGAATCCTGCCGCATTGTATCTGCCAGGTCCAGCAACTCTATTGATCAGCGGCGTTGTTAAGCAAACAAAACCCCGCAAAATAATGTTGATCTTGGTCATTCCCACACTTGTTATCCCGAGCATTTTCATGCTCCGGGCAGTGGATTAGAGCTCCAAAATGACAAGAGACGCCTGTCTGTTTTCCATGGATTACTTGAAACAGACATTCACTCTGCAAAGGAATTCATGTCACTTTGAGATTATTTGGAGACTTGGCCTAATGAATTATCCTTTTGTACAGAGCAAACAATTAGAAGCAGAACACAAAAGATGCACCATATTCAGGACCTTATAAAACACATAATTTTACAATGGGGTTGTTACACTCAATTTCCTTCTAGTTGCATAAAGAAGGCACAGCTACTTTTTTTGTTTGCTTTCTTTTTTATCCCCTTCCCCCCCCACACACACACATAAAGAAAAGAGAGCAAGAAGCTAAAATCGCATCTTTCTAATATGGAATGAATGTGTAACACTCTAGGCTATTTTCCAGCAACCAAATAAATAAATCATGGATCTCAGCCAATATATTTTGCCCAGAAAACATATGGATTCCGTACAATAAGCACTAACGTAGATAAGATTTGCATTTGCAGAGATAAAGTGCAGAAGCATTTTTAGCTCACTCCGTACCCCCATCACAAGTGGCCCCTGGGTCTCCCTCTGCTCTCGAGCTCAGGAGTGCTGGTAGCACCCACGCTCTTATTTTCGGTAATGGCATTTACTCTGTACAGTGTTCTACCTCTCAAAATCCAGATACGCACACGAGTGGGCTCTGTTTAAGAGGTCTGGTCTCATGCTGTGTGGCATAATTCTTCATATATATATATATATATATTTAATATCACCTTTCAGTATGGGCAGCAACTTCCCACTGATGGATCTTGTAGAATTTCCTACCCAAATGTGTCTGAGCTTTTGCTCTGGGCCATTCATTCTGAATTACTCTTCCAATCACCTGCAAGTTGGCATCATTCGGATGCCAATTTTTTCATTAGAAACAACCTTACCTGACTCATCATTACTTCAAATCTTCTCACTGCTGCTGTGATTTTTATACTTAGAAGCTCTTGAAAGCCTAACTGCTCTAGGAAGGTCTTTAGCGTGCTTTAAAAATGTACTTATGTGTTTCCAGAATCATTTCCTGTGTTTTAGATGAGTCATTATGTGTTTATATTGATGCAATCAGGTGCTTCTCAGGAATTGCTCAGGAATTACCCAAATCCTTTTTTGATAGGCAATACTAATCCAGTAATATTTGAGCAAAAGATTTCTTAGTTCAGTGTGGAATTTGTGGATAAAATCGGAGGGGAAAAAAAAGAAAACCCTCTGAGACTGTACCTGGTTGTTAAACACCCCTCCAGAGAATGCACTCCTGTAGGAAATGTGAAACCCTAACTCTGATCACTTCCTGCTCGAATTTCCTCCGCTAGCAGGTGAGCTGCTTCCCAAGCAGGATATTTACAGTTCTGGAAAGGGTCTCTGAATTTGTTCTGGTTGTGATGTATAGTGATATTTTTGATACACTTTGTAATAACTGAAGGATTATTGGGCCAAAAGCAGGCTCAGTCTGTAGCCCTGCTATAAGTGCATTTGTCATCCCATGGGTGAGAGCCTCGGGATGCATCTTCACAACACATTAGCTTCAGAAGCAAAACCCCGTTTGGGAAGATTCAGATCTCAGCTGTCATTCCTCACTTCGGTGTCACAGACTGCCGCTGTCTTATTCACGATGACATTGGATGCAAGCTTTGGGTGGACTTCCTAGAAACATGACTTAAAAAGAAACAAATGTTTGAAAAAATGTCTGTGGAGGTGGGAAGTTTATTTTTTTTTCATGGACTCAGTGTTGCAACTGGCTTATGGGGCAGTAGATGCTCTGACCTGGCATGGAGGAAGAGTAACTCATAGTGCAGGGAGGTTTCAGGATTTCTGAAGTTGGCTTCAATTCTGCAGGCAACTTGTCATGAAATTAAACCTTTAAGTCCAAGTCCTTTGTCTCGAACAGACAGGAATTTAAACCTGGAAGCTATTTGATATACTGCTGAATGTTGTCATGATTGCTCTTCTCTCTTTCTTACAGAAGAAAAGGAAAGAAAGGAAAAGGAAAACTAAAAGGCCGTATGGTGAAGAAAAAAAATGCTCTGATATCCACACCTGCTGAGCTGGATATCACTTTTTTTTTTTTTTTCCTTTAATGTTGATCATTATCAGTAGCTCAAGAGGCTATAAATAGCTGTTTCCACCTGGATCTTAAGGGACTTGAAATTCTGTGCAGTGGCACTTTTTACGTTCTGAAATAATCACAGAGCAAAGTTACTTAAAATATATCAGCAAAAATGGAGTCCAAGGTGTAGAGTTTAATGTTTTATCAAGATGGATTTGCCAAAATCACTGGCTTGCATCCAGAGCTGGAAATATTCTTGTTGTTGGAAGTCTAGACATGTCTTTCTCCAGTGCTCCCTTGGGCTACGTTGCATTTGATAGCTTTATTTGAATCTCCTGAATCTACACAAATCCGTAACATTTTGTGTTATTGCATGTGATCAGGTTGTTAACCAAGCCAACTAGTACCTGCAGTCTCTCAAAAACACCGCATCTTACCATCTTGTCACAATCAGCTTTTCCTTCATTTCTCAGGGCTAATGAGACTGTACTACATGTGATGTTTGTACTTTTGGCAGCATAATGGGATCTGTATCAGGATGATGTGTTTTATTCACAATGCTTTCAGGCCTATTAAACACCTCATCAAATTCTTCAAAAATATCCTTTGCATCCTGTTCTGTAGACAGGTTATGTGCCCGTCTCAACAGTTGCATTTGCAGATTGCTCTTCAGACTTAAATAAACTTTTCCTTTTCCTTGGTACTCTGCTGCTTGATGCCCAAAAGGTCTGGCAGCGACAATACCTTGAACCACTAGTAAGCAATTTTACATACTAGCAAGCATGTGACATTATTAAGAATTACAGAAAGTTTATTTTCTCCATCTCATGGTAAGGCTCAATAGCTTCTGTTTCCAATGGATTAGCTCTTGAGTGCTCATCCAAACTGAGCAAAAATTCCAACTCTATTAACTTTTGAGCACTGCTACTTCCATCCTTCCGATTGCTTATATTTATTGGCTGTTGGGCCTTAACTGAGGAAACACTGGCAAAGACATATGTTTTTTTTTACAGGGGATGAGGGAAATGCAAGGAAAGATTTGATGTTCTAATTCTTTAGAGAAAGGCCAATGTAAGAAAAAATAATTGCAAAGGGGAAAATAAAG